GCGTTAGTTCAGACAACGCGGCAGCACTGTCGCGCCACCATATTGCTTCTTTTGATCACGAAATACTTCTGAATATTATTAATTATGACACAAAAAAGCAAAAGTAGACTACCTATAGGAGCTTGCGCACAAGTTTGAACATTTACCTAGCGGAAACGACTATTAAGAGGTCTTAAATTTGCATTGTCGAGACAAAAATAGGACAATACGCAAGCCCTTGCAGTTCCGTGTACGTATACAGTGATGTGGAGCTGTGTGAGTGCGTATGAGCCATACAAAGTCCACTCTCTTAATATCTCAGACAACATTTTCGCTAAGAAAAAAGTTGTTTCAAATCACCTCCCAAACCACCCCTTTCAAGGTGTTACAACATTTTTGGGACATCCTGTATAAGTGTATACATATCTGGCGTTCCACAGATATTATTGTTACGTTGCAGCTAAGAGGTTACCTTGATTTTTCTTTCTCCAAGCAATACATTGTATGTAAATATACAATTCGACATACGTAGAAACTTCTGGAGCGAATTATTTTATTCATACAGTCAGTGTAAAAAGTATTCCTACAGCAACCAATTTAAAATAAATGGTTCCTGTACGAATACTTATTACACTGACTGTATATACTTGTATAAACAAATATATACATGTACCTACCGATATTGTTACAATATAAATTTATATAGGCGATTTACCGTAGAAAGCATTGTATTATCGTCTTCGTTGTTTTTAGGAAATTCTATTTGTTAAAATATGTAAAGGAAGATTTCGTACTAATACTTTCTCGTAATTTAACGGAGAAAACTGTAAAATTGCTAGATATGCAAATAAATTTTAATCTGGCAGAATCGCTGAGAAATTCTTCAATACGATATGCAATTATGCAAATTGACGCTTTCGGCGCGGAACGGTTGGACCATGCAGGGATTCCAGTGGCTGAGGTGTCGATTGGTCAATGTCAATGCCATTCGTTACGGCGCCTGGCATCAATCGGTTTTCGGTTGGTCCACGAATAATTCATGAACGTCCAATACACATATTGGATGTTCATACCAAAGAGGTTAAAAATTATATTTTTATAAGCAACGCGTCTATGTCTTATGTATCAGAAGCAAAGCATGCCACGCTGGCTGACCAATAATATGCATTCCATTTGTCAATCAAGAATATCATACGAACTAATGTAAATAAATTTAAGATACTATAGAAGAATAGGTTAATTTGAATATGAACACACATCCGAACAATGTATCCAAAGAGATTATATACAAAAAGTAGAGGAGTTATAAAAGACCCTGTAAGTGAAAATGTTAGATGAGAAGAAAGAGAGAACACATTTTGAACATTCTTTTTGCGTACACGCAATCTCTTTCTTTTACTATTCGTGTTATACTTTTTCGCCTAGGTTGCCTACTCTATCTGTGCTGTATAATCTCTTTGAATGTATCACGTATGAAATATTCAGAAATATATAAGTATTTATCGACGTATATGTTAATACATAAAAAATTTTACGGAAGAAATTTGAAAACATGAATATTTGTAACGAAAAATATATAGATAAAAAAATATTTCGATACATTGAAAGACTAAAAAGAAAGTAATACTATTATTAATAATAAATGTACATTTTATGTGACGCGTATAAATTTTATCGATCGATTAAGGGGATAGACACGGGAAATGCAGCGAGGTGACATTACCGGCAAAACTGGGCGTAAAAAGGGGTCCGTGATTTTTCGCTTTTCGTCCTTATATTAGCATATTTTGGGCTGAATGAGGGCTCATTCGAAAGAGGAAGCTTGAATACATCCGGGGCTGGTCATAATTCACCGAGATCTTGTTAATATCTAATAATATGAGTGTCCAAAGTAGAGAAAGAATACGATAAAATACATCTGCAGAATCCAAGTATTTCTAGGTCACTATAAGAGTTTTGTGACTCACATGATGACCAACCCTGGATGTATTGAACCTTTCTCTTTCGTATGAGCTCTCATTCATCCCAAAATATGCTAATATAAGGACGAAAAGCGAAAAATCGTAAAGGCATTCCCAAAATCGAGTTCCGCCATTTTGTAGATAATAGTAGAGCAAGTCACGTACCAATTCAGGAAATCAGTATGAGATGGCGGTTACTGAGGACGACTGCTAACGTGAATATCGATACATGGCGACGTTGTCATTCTGGCATAACTGCGTCTATACTTTCCTCACGCTGCGCTGTTGCCATTTTACTGAAGTCGAAATATTCTTACATTTGCCGACGTCGACAGAGCACAGGAACAGACAGCGGAAAAAGAGTAAAAGAAAACATTTACAAGCCTAGTATCATAACCAATTGTCATAACAATATCGTGTTTGGTCTCATTTTAATCAGGAAAACCTCACCAATATGTTAGTGAAATTTGTATTAAAAAAAAATTAACAATAAAAAAAGTTAGTTTGTCGCATTATTGTTTCACAGATTAGTAAGCATTTAAATTTTTTACGATCACCTCGACTCTCACAAGGAATGTTTTTTAGGTATCTGCCTCCAATTGTTTTGATTTTTGAATATGTTTTAAAGGAGCGAAAAATAAAATATACGTACTTTTGTATTTTCGCCTGTTTCATATTTAGGAGGTGAAACAACCCCCTAAAGTTTCAGCTGCAATAGGCTATCTCCGAAACTATCATAAATAGAAGAAAACTTTTTAAGAAAAAGTTTCATGTTTTTTATCTGCATATAAAATCTGACCCTAAATTTTGTAAAAAAAAATAATTTGTTTATAACATTATTTTAAAAGTAATTACAGTTTATATAATAACTAAAAAGAACATACATTTTTTGCCGAATCTATTTATGTATCATATACTGTGTTTGCCTCTTACATTTTTGCGCATTAATTATACGTACACCCTCGCTCATAAATATGTGGACACGTACTACTTTCAATGAATAATTAATGTACAGGGTGTATAAAAATTATTGGTCACCACTTTCAGGGGTTATTGTACACATCTGGATCGGTGGACATTTGCAAAAAAAACCGTCCACAAAATCCATTATGACCTCGAAATTTAAGGTCAAAGATTTTTTTTAATTTTAAAAAATTCTACTCGAGGAGTAGGTAAAAAGTTTCAAAGAAGCCACGTGCCGGAAACGAACCGATGCCGCATAAAAAATTGTTAAAGTTTTCCAAATTCTCGTTAGCGCGGATCAACTCAACGAGGCGCCGCAGCGGCGCTGAGGGTCCCCCAACCTAGCTCCTATTTATATACGCACGTGCGATGGTGAAGTGTGACCGCACTGTACAAACGTAATACACAACGCGGAACAGAATACTACTACTTACTACGCTGAGCATTCAGAATCCCTCAAGGAAGAAGTATACAATATATGTTGTTGAGAAGAAACTATACTATATGGCAATAACAAGCAGCTCCATCTAGTTTTCCTCCGCTGCCGCATATCTAATGGTAATATCATTTCTATGCAGAGAGTAGCTGTTGTAGTATCGACCTGCCGAATCGGAGAGGTCACGTGCCCATTTGATTCAGTTTCTCGATTAAATTCTACGATTAAAAATAATGAATAAAATAGCACATAATGGTTATTGCATGTTAAACAACATAGGTTCCGTATAATTACCGCCACTATTATTTATTCATACTTGTTACGTTCTACAAATTCTACGACTTATTTGTATACACATGATACAAAATTTCAATACGTACTACTTGTACGAAGAAACCACTGTATACATTTTAAAAAATTTCTTTTGTAAGAAAGTAATTGATTACTTATGTTTAATTATAAAAATCTTTTATGTATGATTTTTTATAATCATGGTTACTATTAATTATTCACGTATATCTACTCTTATTGAGCAATTATTGGCACAGTACTAAATAGTTTATTATACAGGGCGGGGTGGGAGGGGCGGGGGGCAATAACTGCTAGCAACTCAGATATCTTGGAAACTATAAGTTTCACAGAAATATTTGTTGAAATAAAATTACACAGTACGAAGGAGGCCATCCGGTGGCGATAATAGTTCTTTTGCAGGTGGAGGCTCTTTCCCAATTCGGTGTCGTGAATAGAAGTGTCCATTCTAAAAAATCGAGTTAACTTTAGAATTAGATTGCCTAAAATTGACTCCGAGGTAAAGCTGAAATCATCTCATGGCTCCTTTTGATCTACTAAAACCATAAGTATTATCGCCTTTCTCTACTTTCTATGACCTACAATGACTTTATATAATAGGTCGTTGACCTCGTTTTAAGATCCTCTATCACGAAACGGAAGCAAAAACACACCGATTCATTTAAAAAAGTGGATATGACCTCCAAATATTCAAAGTACCCCCACTTGCAAAGAAATTATTATCGCTAATGGATGACCCCCTTTGTACTGTGCAAGTTTATTTCAACAAATATTTCTATGAAATTTATAGTTTCGAAGATATCTGAGGTGCTAATAGTTATTGCTCCACCCTGTAATATGATGTAATAAATTTACCAAAACCATACAGATATTTATTATACAGATTACTTTTAAAATATAGAAATATATTACATAAGTATGTTTATTACTGCTTCTATTATATTTGCATTATAATATTGAGTATTTATAACGGAAAACGAATAATTTAGAATCTGAACAACCATGCATATATGTCTATCGGCTATTAACAAACCACATAATTTCAATTGTTATATTTTCTAGATTGTACTAATATTTTATTTTAAACTTTGGACATCCGCGAAACCGACCAAGCAGTGCCTCTATGCTTTGCATAATTATGTACACAGATTGTTCCTATTCCTTAATTCTGTAATTAATTGTTTGTCTAATAATACTGATATCTGTATATTCTCCGATCGACCAAAATGAATTTTATGTATATATCATCTTAATGTTTTGTGTTATAAAATGAACTCTATTGAATTCGCATATGTAAGAGGTGTAACATTATAATTTGTATATCTTATATTACATAATATAAACCAGTCACATATCTTGTATACTTTTATTTACAGAAAAAGATAAAAATACATTTAATAGTAACTTGATATGATTTAAAATTATTATAAATTAATTAAATTAGAAATTTCCAATTTCTTATTAAAACACTACTAATCATCATTAGTTATGGTGTAGGTGGTTCATAATATAATAAGAGAGCAGCTAATTCTTTATTAGATATTTTTCCTAGTTTTGTTCTCATTTGTAAAGCTAATTTACTTGATTGTTTCAAGTACATTGCAGAGTGATGTACAGCAATTGCGTAAGGAATTGGACACCAATTTTCTCTGACAATTTCCCTAACAAGAGCAGTTATGTAACTTTCTATTAAAGACGTGTCTTCCTCAAGAGGATATAAATATTCTTTTAACGGAATAACTAATCGTTCTGAAGGTAATCTAATGTAACGAAGCAAACCTGCATGTTCTGACCATAGTAGTTTTCTATAATGAACATCATGTCTTTGTGCAATTGGTGCCAATATAGTAATTGAAAAACCGTAATCACCGTAAGAAGTCGAACAAAAATGTTCGCACATAGCAGTAAATAAATCGGTAAATGAATTAAGCCCTGGTAAATCTATCGTAAAATTAAGTTTCTTGTAATTACTTTTCAATAAAGATGAAATAGCTCTAGTAAGTAAAGGAGATACGTCGCTATTTAGATATACTGTATCGCATAGATATACTAATACTAATCTACTAAATCTTAAACTTTGCGATAGTTTCTCGACCAAATCGGGTAATACTAATTCTAAACTCAGTACGGTTAAGATAGTAGATTCATCTTCATCGTTACATCCGCTACTTTCTCTACATTTGGTATAAATGTATACTATTGGCAAATAAAGCCAATCTTTAGGCATTGCCGCTTGATTCCATTCTCCATTCAATACTACATATTGCTCATATAAACTAGTCACATTGCGAGTTAAATTTAGCCTAATATCCTCGACGTTTGAATTCAAGTTTAATTTCTCTAATTCATTTGCTACCACTCCTAAACTTAATCTCTCGTCTGATATCGCGATCCTAAGCATATTTTTTATATCAGATAAACAATCAGCAGGTAAGGATGATACAAGTTTGATAGCAATTTTCCAAATTACATGCGCTGTTCTTCTGTCAAGCGTATCTTTAATAAGAGAAGCTGCATTCACTATAGCAGTCAAGAATGAAAATTCAAATCTCGTGTACCACGAGTTTTCTAAGCACCAATCTGCCATTTCTAGTTGTTTTAAATATTTACACAGTTGTGGAAGACTGAGAATTGCCTGAATTTCATTTGTGAAATAATGACTAACGTACACTTTTAAAACTGTTGCAAGAAAGGGTATACAAGACTGCTGGGATACTATAGGTTGTAATTGTCCATCTTGAGTCAATACACCTAGATGCGGTAGAGAAAGAGGTTCGCGTTCAGTAGCTGGTTTGCAGTCACTCAACAAATTCGATGAAGAAGGAAGTTTAGAAAACACCTCTGATTGAGATATCATCAATTTTTTAACTATAATCATATCATTGACCGCTAGTAATGTTTCAGCAATAAGTTTCGTGTTACCCCACGTAACATTAGTTAAAGTTAATAATTGTGTACTCCATTTCAACAATAAAATTGATATATTAGGTTTTAAAAATGGTAAACAACTAGCAACAGCAATTAATGCTGCTGCATATTCGCAAGATAATTCAGACGCATTTTGAATGTCATGGTTACTTAACAAAATTTGCAATTGAGATAAAAGAATTAATTGTGCTCCAGTTAAACTATCCATTGCTTCTCTATGAAGTAGTAAAGTTTTCCATAATCTTAAACTTTCGATGCTGAGATTAAGATTTCCAGTCCCTGCGTCGCAGCAAGCGTACGAAATAATGCGTTGCACAATTTTAAGTCTAATTAACTTTTGGGCAATAGATTTTCCTCCATAATAAAGTAAAACACGATAAAATTTAACTGCTGCAATTACGGGAACTCCATAAACATTATTTATATTTTCCGGCAATGCTAAAGAATCTGTAGATAATGGCATAAAGTTTTCAATTATCGTCTCCAATAAGTTTGGTATACTCATAATATTTAATGCAGTTATAGTTGAATGTCTTAAAAGCCTAATTAATATTTCTAATGCGCATGTTACACCAACGGGTGGTGGACGCATTTCATTCAAAATGTACCTAATTCTTAAAAGTATATCAGTTCTTAATAATGCAGCTATTGCATCTAATTGTGCCAATTCATGATCTTTCAAATTACTTGTATCGGTAACATCAGTTTTTGGGGACGTTATAACAGGTTCTTTGTAATTTTGAAAGCCATATAGTCTATCTAAACAAATTTCATCCGCTTCGCTGTACAGGAAAGCTCTAAGTGCTTGTAAGGTAGCTGTAACTACAGCTACCGATGTATCATCCAAAGAAAACCTTAATAATAGTAGGATATTTCTTTGACTCAATGCAGTCAAGGGAGCTGGTTGCAATACTTTATCATACCAGCCTTTGCGACTTTTATCCATAATGTTTGCCAATGTTGTAAGAGCTGTGCAACGTTGTTGTTGTGCAGCTGATCGGCTCAATTGTAATAATTCTTGCAAGGAATATCCAGGACGTTCAGGTTCTTCTCCATGATGATGGAGACCTTTTTCGACTGGTACACTTTCATCCTTATATGGTAATAATAATCCATTAAAATCAAAACGAGCATTATATGGTTCTTCTGGTATGAGTTGGTCTAGTTTTTGCGTTGGTATATCTTCCATCCACTTAAACTTTTCAATTTCAAGGGAGTCCATGTGTACCCAACCTTTTTCTTTAGCTTGTTTCATTAATTCTATAGAAGGTTCTGTTACAGTTTTGTCAGATTCATCTATTTGCATCTGTGTATCATTATCCTTGGGCATTTCTTCATTGTGTCTATTGGAGAATTGTTCAAATTTATCAACTTGCATTGGTGTAACATCATCTTTAGATAATTTTTCATTATGTTTAGATGTATCATTTTGATTATTATTTACAGCATTACATTTTTTAATTGTATTTGGATTCTCCTTTTTTTTTTGTTTCCTACTTCTTCTCTCTTTTAAAAACTGAATTAATTCTGGATTAAGAGTTGTTTCGAGCTTATTTTTTTCTTTTAATATATCTTCAAGACTCATTTCATTTAAACGTTCCAAATTTTCTTGGTGTATCTCAGTTGTCCATAATCCTTCTGCAATAACACTACCTTCCTGACATAACAAAGATTCACAATTTTGAGTACTCTCTTCTTTATGCACAACATGCTTTTTTGGGGCAACTTGTTGCCAAAACAAACTTTGTTTACTGTCATTTTTCTGCAAAAGAATAACATTTATACAATTACATAATGAGTGTAAAACTTACAATGTATAACAATGATATTTGTTAAGAATCATATTTAGCAATGATATCTAAGGTTACATAAATACCATGTGTGTAGAAACAAAAACTTCTGGAAAACCTTTGCCCAAAGCAGAAAACTTATTCTGATTAAATTTATAGTTGTGCGGGTCATGTTTGTGTTCAATAATATTTCTTAATATCATATTTGATGATATAATTGGTATATTCTGAATAGAATCCTGCAATCGTGGTTTCAAATTTTCCTGAACATTTTTCTTGATTACAGGATTTATAAGATTGCCACTAGTTTGTGCAGTACAAACCTTGTTCTGTGTTTTCAATTTTTTTAATTCAGCAAATCTTGATCTCACCTTTCCACTATTTGTCTGACTTTTGGCTGTTTCATCAGAAGTAATAGTGTTAAAGGGTTTCGTTGAACCACGTAAATTAATTACTTTTACAGACGGTTGTTCTTTATTCATAAAAAACTCATCTTGCATACGAAATAACTCTTCTTCGTCATCGGTTGGCATAGGCCGTTTTAAAGTTGGAATACAATCCATGTATTTAAGTATCGTTAAAGTACGCTCAATAATAAATACTTGAAAAGGTATAATCTCTACTCATAGAAAATAACTTTGTTTACTATCGTGGGACACTTTCAGGTTATAAATATCATCGTTACGTTCATTACTTAAAACATTTATTTTATTAATGTAACAATTTCAAGTATATTTCATGTTCTGTTTTATATAGGAATTAAACTCGACGTATTTTAACAAAACGTGAAGGGTGCGTAGGAGCCAGAGCCAAACTCCGAGTTGACTTCAGCGACAGTTGCGAGAAAAGTAGAAAACTCAAGGACAAGGATAGATAAATCCTTGTCTCTCTAATGATGCGGTGACAGAGAGAGCAATACAACAATTGCAGGAGATTAGCCTAGCATGATTTTGTTCAAGGATATTGAAGCAAAGAAGCAATATTTTCGAATAATTCTGGTTTTAATATCTGAAGACGCGGTAGAGTCTCGACACCAAGTTTATGAAAAATTATACAGGCACCCTGTATAACGTGGCGCTACCGTTTGTATCTAGAGACGCGGTAGCGTCTCGACGTCAAGTTATCTTTCACAGGAGAGATGGTCCATTCTAGCCTAACTGGAAACTTCTTTCATTAATATCTCATCATGCCTGCAATATTTTCTAAATTTAAACGCATTTTTCTTATGTAAATCGCATATATAAGCTTTCGAATAAAACCAAAATCAATAAAATCGGACTACGTACAACTGAGATATCGTAATATCATGTCACGATACATCCAAAAATATTACCGTGTTATACTTTTCCAGTCGATTTTTCGTCAACACTTAGCCAATAGCAAAGAGTATTAGATCTATCTAAATCTGTTCGTCGATTTGTCGACTCTCGGAATCAGTCGGCAGATGGCAGAGCTCGTCGGCCGGAATTGTAATATGGCTGTCGCTCACGCCGCTCGTTCATTTCTAACCTGTATAACCTGTCAGTTTGTATTGGTGACATTTGGACGCCGCAAATTGAATAATTATTTTAAAGGCTACGTGTAGTTATATTGTATTGGGAAGTATATGATTATAAGTGATAAAATATCTACCTTGTCGTTGTGGAAAGATATATATAAATTTGGTGTTTGAGTGTGCAGTTCATAATACAAATTTCAGTAAATGTTCATTTTATCCAAATAAGAATAAGTGTTCTAATACAATAAATTGTGTGTTATAAATAGTGGACCATTTTTTTTATTTTCACTTCATGATAAACATTTAAATTGCTTGCAACAAGACTTTCTGTCACACGTTCTGTGTACGTATGAACTGTAAAAAGAAAGGGAGAGAGAACGCATGGCAGGATGTCTCACTGCAAGAAATTTAAATGTTAAAAATGAAGCGAGAAATAAAAAAAAGAAATCAAGTATTTGTAACGCACAATTTATTGTATTAGAATACAGTTCATACGTTTACAGAACGCATGGTAGAAAGTCTTGTAACAAATTTAAATAATGAGAAAATGAGAAAAGGAACAGAGATCCACTATTTGTAATACGTAATTTATTGCATTACAATAATATAGAAAAAGAGAGGTCAGACTTAGTCCTTTATGTTCTCAAAAGTATGCACGACACATGACAGAAAGTCATGTTACATTTAAATGTTACTGATAAACTGATTACATTTTTTTTTTAATAAATTGCTTGCAATGAGACTTACTGCAATGCGTTCTACGTACTTTTGAAACCTTAAAGGATTCAAACTGATCTTCCATTTTCTATTATTTGAAGTCATTCACTATACAAATTATCTTTGTAAAAAGAAGTGTGTTCGCGAACTGGTGTTAGGTTCACGCGGACTGCAGAAATGAATGCTCTCGCTTGGTTGTAATGTAAAACTTTATTCTCGTCAATTCGAAATTCGTTGCAATCACACACAATAGAGCAGTAAACACAAACTGAGCTGATGCATTGTTTATAGAGTCAATTCGAGTTGGCAAATGAGTTTTTCTAAGCGATACCTGTCAAAAATGAGTTTACTATCGACGGTTGAAGCTGTCACACATTAACGTGGAACACGTTGCGCTGGTCAGTCCGCTTGGCGCCGTTAACACTTTGCCGGCCGCTGTCACGCATGCGTGACTTTTCTTTGCCAACCGTTATCGGCCGATGTCACGTACGCGTGACTTATTTTCGCCAACGATGATGCTTTATGTCTACGTTTGTGTAGGTAGACATATTATTGCAAAGCAACATTTGACGATCAGAGAACATTGGTTTCAACTGTTTTCCCCTTCCAATTTACCAGATCTTTTTTTATTAAAATTTGTTTAGCGGACTCTTGTTTTGTTAGTCTGAGACTGTCTTTCGCTGCCTTCAAATATCGGAAGCTTACGTTAGATTTAATACAAGTTTTAAAATATCCTTCAAAATGCTCTACGATGAGGAAATATATGCTGATCTGTTATCAGAGGACGATACGTTCCTCTGTATGTAGGAAAATGTATTGAAATTTATCATACGAAAAAGAACTATGAATCCTAGGAGTTAAATTTTGTAATAAAATGTTTTAGGTCTAATTAAAAGTATAAGACTATGGAATAAAAATAGTGTAACAGTTATTTTAATGCCTTCTTTAATAATAATTATATTGCAACTACTTATGTAGTGAACAATTGCGTAAATCACACCGTTGGCGAGCATTTTTTTTTTTTTTATTTATTTATTTCTCTACCTGTTCTGCAGCTCGAGCATCCACTTATTGCTGCTTAGTTCTAAAATCTTGGGAAATTTTTGTCTATTTCCCAGAACAGGAAACTGATTTTCTATATTTTTCTAATCTATTTTTTTTCTTTTACAGGTCATTCTGCCGGTGGGATTATCCCACCGCCCGTCCCTGCCACGAGGAGGCAGACCTTCTACTTTTCTAAAGATACGTATAATTGCGCTTTGTATATTAAAATCCTCTTCTTTCTTCCATTCTTTTCTTCCTTTTCTTCATTCATCTTTCTTCTTTCTTTTTTTCTTCCTTCTTCCTTCCTTCTTCCTTCTTTTTTTTTCTTCTTTCTTCTTTCTTCTTTCTTCAATCTACATTTTACTTTCTTTCTTTCTTCATCGCGTTCTTTTCAGGTGTTCAAATAACTTTGGCTTGCTGCTAATACTGCTTGGTAAGTCTTCCGTCTCACGTATACTTCATTTGCAAATTGGTCAAACCAAACAAACTGTTCTTTTGTTCTTACTATATTTTCCCAGGCTCTTCTATATTGTTCAATATTATCTGGACGAATATCTCGATAAGTATTGCATGTAAATATAATATGTTCTGGCGTTTCTTCACTTGCTAAACATGCTGGACACAATGGGGTGTCACTAGCTCCTCTTCTGTGCAGAGAGCCATTAATCGAACCGTACCTAGTTATTAAAGTGCGATATGCTCTTGAAGGTTTAAACCATGAGTTATTTAAGCAAAAACGTACATTTTTTATGAACTTATAAGTGTCCCTACCATGGGCATCTAAATTCCATCTATCTTGCCAAAGGTCATATACTTTATTTTCAATGGCTTTGAATTTAATTTCATTCGAAATTTGCTCGTTATCTTCTGTGATGTTATATATTAAATTCTCGAAGTTAATCATCATCTTCCTTTTGACCTTCCTAAAGAGAGCATGTCTTGTTACTTCTAGATCTATTGGCAAGTAGACTCCAACTACCTGCAAAGCTGAAGTAGAAATTATTCTACACGAACCAACCATTGTTATCATAATGGCCCTCTGCAGAGCTAATAGTTGTTTTTTCACAGCATATTTATTCGTCCTGTTATACCATATTATACCCCCATACTTGATGATGGGAAGACAAACCGCCTTATACAGAATGACAAGTATCGGTCTTTTAATTCCCCACTCAGCATGTACGTGCCGCTTTAAAGACATTATATAACTCGTTAATTTTGTCCTTAGGTACTTGGCATGGGGGGTAAACGTGAGTCCAGAGTCGATGGTGTTACGTATACAGAAACTCTCCGTTTTTTAGAAGCTCGCGTTCATTAATCTTATTTTATCTACCCTTCTGGAATTTAGAGCTCGGTCTCACCGGAGTGCATCCTGCAGCTGCATCCTCTTAATATCATCTTTGACTCGCGTTGCGTGGGATAGTTTCTAATCTACCCTTTTCCCAGGGCACACAGCTGCTGACCTCAGAGCAACGAAAATCCTAACCGTCAAATTTCCTAATATGGAAATCACTGACGGTTCCCCACTAACATTTAGGGGTATATAAACCCACGATTTTCGTTGCTCGGGGGCTAGTACGAAAGAGTTACTCGTTAGAGACACATTGATCGTCTGCAGAGTAGTATTCTAGTGAGATCGGGCTTCAGTTTCCCTTTCGATCATCGTTACCATATAGATCCGCGAAGACGGTTTTAAAATCTATTACGACCATAAAAGTACTCTCGACTCCCGCATCGCCAGTGCGTCAACACCGCGCAAGATTTAGGTAATTTTAACTTCATACACTAACCGCGACAACACGACACTAGACACTTGTAATTAGTATAGTTATTTTGAATATATACTCTTTGTGTAAACTTAAAAGTCTGTAAGATCAATCATCAAACCTTTACTTTGAAATCACCAATCCTAGCCAGTGTAACGATCCCACAACATAATAACTTTACCGCTCGAGTTATTATTCTATTAAATTAACAAGTTGCGAGGCTTTATTAACGACGCGTAGTATTCATTACCGATACGATTTAGTACTCAACCCGAACTCCTAAACTTAACCTATCCTACGGTTACCCTTCATTGGGAGATACCGATTCCTAGCAGCTACCTGACTTCGCGTCAGAGTCGTCTGCACTTTTTCCAACAACCTCACAGTTCGAACCTTACCCTACGGTTACCCTTTACTGGGAGATACCGATTCCTGCAGCTATCTGACTTCGCGTCAGAGTCGTCTGCGTTTGTCTCCAATAACCAAGACAACCAAACACCTTAACCTACGGTTACCTTTCACTGGGAGATACCGATTCCTGCAGCTATCTGACTTCGCGTCAGAGTCGTCTGCATTGTCTAATCTATCCTCAGCCTTCGGTACCATTGATACACAATAAATAATCGTATTGGTTCAATTCTCAAATCTATCCCACTCGCTGGGCTCACACGCGCGTCGCTATCGCCCTGGCTCGTAACAATGGTAACACCAAGGTATTTAATTTCTTTAACAAATTGAATGTTATTCTGATACAACTTCACAGTAGGCAATCTAGTTAAAGAAAATTTACTTTTAAGCATCATGGCTTCCGTTTTAGTAGTAGAGATTTCCAGTTTATTTAATTTACACCAATCTTGAAATTGCCTTACTGAAGAATTGGCAAAATTTTCAATTTCAACACGACTATTACCTTTGATTAAAAAGAGCACATCATCAGCATATGCTATAATTTGAGAATTGTCCTCACTATTGTTCTCTGTGAAGTTATTTAAGAAAACATCTAAAACTCAAACCCACGCAGCCGGTCCTATGATCGATCCCTGCGGGCATCCTCTTTGAACTCGATATATAACTTTTTCATATTTAGATTTGACTAAAATTTTTCGATCATTGAAATAACTATCTAGAATTCTAATAAGTTTAGTGCTGCAATTGGCCTCTTATTCTGGCCCCAATGGCGGGCCACCATAAATTATCGAATGCGCCAACAATGTCTATGAAGATGGCAACAACATATTTCTTGTTGGTTAACTCAACACTATTTTTGAAATCCAGAAGGGCGTCCTCAGTAGAGAAACCCTTCCTAAACCCATATTGCTTAGCATTCTGGAGTCCAGCTAAAGCATATGCATTATTCACTCGATTAACGATAATTCTTTCAAAAACTTTGCTAACAACCGGTAATAGAGCAATTGGTCGATATGCGCCTACCGAACTTAAATCAGCATCAGGTTTCTTAGGAATAATAAGTAGCTTAGCTACTTTCCAAGATGCTGGAAATATGCCGTCATCAAAGCATTTATTGTATAGTGTTAGCATTATTTCTTTCTTAACAATCCAAAGTCTTTTAATTATTTCAGGGCCAAAGCCATCGAGACCAGCAGCTTTACCAACCTTGGTTCTTCTTAAAGCAGCTTGTATTTCATCAATCGAAATGGCCATCTCAACATTATGATTCTGGTAAGTGCCATTTTGACTACGGAGATTACGGTGTATTACTCCCTCAGTTCGCATGGTGTCCCTAGGAGAAAACTTTTTACATAGCGCTTTTACTGATTCTCGCCAGGATTTGATTGATTCTCCATTTGGCAATTTAATCGCCGATACGGAGAAACTTTGCAGCCATTTTTCCCTAACAATTTTGTATATTATACCCCAAGGGTCTTTGTTTCCTTCTTCTTTAACGAACATTCGTCAGGTGTCCAATTTCTGTTTCTTAATTTTCGCCACGTAAGCATTTCTAGAGATCCTGTACATCTGTAGAGCATCTTCAACCACTGATGCATCATTCGTTCTCCGAGCTCTACCCAAGCAACGCTTCCTACGCCGAACCTCCTTACGCAGATTCGATAGCTCCGTGGTCCACCAGGGGACTGGTTTATCAACTCTCTTTTTCCTAGGGATCGCTTCACGGCAAACATCGACTAGTAAGTTAATTACTCTTCTAACCATATTATTTACACTCAGGTGGTCAAAATCAGCTAAATACTGTTCATCTACAATTCGACTGACAGCCTCTTCAAAACGATCCCATTTCGCCGCCTTAATATTATACTCGCGGTCTCTAAAAAGATTTAATGGTCTCGCCATGTAGGTTTTAAATTTAAACAGTATCAAATTATGATCCGATATGGAGCATAAATTAGTAACCCTCCAGTTCGAGATCTTATTTTATAAATTTCTTCCACAAAGAGTAATATCTATATTAGACACGCCGTGTAAGCTGGAGTAGGTATAAAGCTCTCCAGGCCTGTTAGCAATATAAAGATTGTGGTCCAAAATAAATTCTTCCCACTCTCGACCTGCTTCATCAATAACGTCTGAATGCCACCAAGTAGATTTAGCATTCGCATCCATGGTAATAATTATATTGCTTGTACCGTTCTCATTGATGAATCTCTCCAACTTAGTCATGAATATATTAGGCGAAAGAGAGTGCTGTCAATATAAATTTATAAGAAAAAACTTGATACTTCTAAAAATAATCTGCGTGACCAACATATGTTCAGACTCATAACCAGTCATGGCGAAAAAATCCAATTTTGAATTATTAATTATATTTGTTACCCAAGGAGAGTCCCCTTTCGGTTGAACCACAGATAATAGTATCGGCGAGATATAACCTCTGATCTTTCCTTTAAAAACATACGGCTCCTGAATGCACAGGATATCCAACTTACAATCCAAAATGATTTTTCGCAAATCTGCCGCCACAGCCATCGATCTTTGCGCGTTAATCTGACCAATAATTAAGTCCATTGAACCTTATTTCGGTATATTTCAACCTGTTTTAGATATTCTGGACAGGATCTATTCCTAACGCTGTGGGCGACATCCTTGCGCTTAAGACGAACACGCCGGGCACTGAGGATGATCTTTCTTTTTGTAATCCTCGCGAGCGTGGTCAAGATCACCACAATGCTCGCAAAGTTGCTTAGGGGTAGTGCAGTATTTAGCCACATGTCCATACATGTGGCATTTGAAACACCTGGCAATATTTAAATATTCACGCAGTCTGTATGATCGCCAAAACATGTAGGCCCTACCGGAGTTCAGTAGAGTATCAAATGCTTTACCAGGTAACTGGACTATCCAATTAACCCTGTCAGGGTGGCTTGTTTTAAAAGAATGTCTAAATATAACTTTTTCTTTTAGTTTTTCCTTAAACTGATCATCTGTAGCAACCAAGTTTTTCGATATCAAATCCTCTTTAAGTTCTTCAGGCTTCAAATCCTTTTCAACGTCGTAGATTACAATGACGGGGTCCAACTTCTTAGGAGCGGCAACGCTTAGTCCCCTACCATCGAGTCCAACACCCTTAACAATATCTACATCCTTTTTGCTTTCGAGTTCTAAGAGAACTCCTTTATTTCTTAGTTGTCTAATATTTCTTACCCTTAGATCTTTTCTCTTTGATTCCAGTACTTGGGTAACCTGATTTTTAAGTTCTTCACTAGTCCTATTATCTTTATCATTCACAGCTTTCACGATGAGGATCTGACTTGTTGATTTTTCTTTTCTAGGTGTTCCTACTGTAGAGACGCGAGGAGGAGCTGGGCTAACACCTCGAGATGTAACTTGAGCGTATGTCATCGTCGACTTACTTTTTATCTCCTCATTTCGAACCAGAAGCTTCTCCTTTTCTAAAATTTCATTTTGCAAACGGTTTTCCAAAATTCCCCACTTTGATAAAATAAATTGAATGGCACTTTTTGTTAATTTATTTGCATCGTTAAATAGGTAAGCTTCTAGTTCCTCCCTCTCTTTTCTCACCTCATCAAGTGGAGCAGCGGGCTTTTGCGAGTCGATTTCCGATCTCGAGGTGTCAAATCTTTTCCTTTTTGCCAAAAGTGGAGTACCAACCTCCTCTGTAATAGAGGAGATCGAACTCGTACGACTATGCCCTAGTCTAGGGGTAGTTCCTCCACTAGGTGTAGCGACTGGGGTAAGTACAACCTGCGCTGTATCCACTTCCATTCGCCCCTCTTCATCGCTGCTAATGACTGCAGCCTCCTTCTTCGTCTTAGGTTTTTTGGATTTTAAAGAAATACTCATAGTTGTTCCCACGAGTGTGGTGGAAAGGAGGTCCACCCGACCAGAGCCACCTTTGCCCGGGCAAGCCTAGTACATTGGGGTTTCGGCAGGTTCCTCAGGTTGGTCGCTTGGGATTGGGGCTGCCCACCCAACCACACATCCCATCGCTACGCACCATAGCTTAGGATTCGGGGGCAATTTATAGAGTTACCATACTCGCAATCCGGCCGATTAAGGCAAGATCCCCGGGCCCCTACCGTCTCGTACCAATCATAAAACCACCGAAGTGGGATTATGATTGGGTCGTTGAGACTACCAACAGAGGCTTACGCCGTAGCCGCCTTGCTGTTAGGCAAGTCGCAGAGGCATTACTTAGTTTCCCTCGATATCCACGGACTAATCCGTGGCTATGAGGTACTCACGGTGGTAACCACTAGGAGGTGAACGCTTGCAATGAGTTAGATGGCCCCAGACTGATTTCGGATACTAGAACCGAAGTCCCGACACCTCAAACGACCGCCGGGGTACATCAATCCAATCCTCTACCACCACCGTTAGCGAGCAGTAGAACCTGTGTGAATCTCGCCGGCGGCAGCGTAAAGGCGATGCGGAGTCTGCGGTCGGCAAAGTGTTAATATATAAATTCAGCCGCCTGCTGGTTGCTGAGCTGATGCGCTGATGCGCTGAACTTCACCTTACCGCACTTTGGGATGAGTTTAACTATGAATTTGAGCTGAACTTGAGGTAGGCTGGTAAAAATGTCCAAAAAGTCTGGTCGCGATCCGTTTATTTTGAACACTAGATTCACAATGGCGACTCAGCGCACGTGGCGTGAGCACGCGACCGTTGCGCGTTCCGAAATTCGGCCGAACTCTTGTCTGCTGGACAAGAGCGCCCGCTGTCGATCGATGACTGATCGATGGGACGCCGGGAGCCTCCCTGCGCGTCATTTGAAAGCCGATTCGCAAATATTCCGCCCGCCATCAACAAGTCATTGTTGTTGAAATGTTGAATCCTCTCTTTCCTGACGAGTCGGCAAGATGATGAGTTTGTGGATTGGTCGCACCAGTGATGTAGTCGCTGCCTTGAGCGTAGCGACTCTAGAGAGTCCGTTCTTGCCAGGGTGTAATGCAGTGACTTTGGCAAGTGGCCACTTGCTGGGAGCCAAGTGTTCGTGAGTTATCAGTGCCAGTGCACCGACTTTGAGCTGATGAGATGGGTGATGCCATTTGGAGATTGCCTGAAGATGTTGGAGATAGTGCGCTGACTATTGTTTCTAGAACTGTTGTGTCCGTTGCTGTATGCGCTGCCAGCTGGACAGTCGAGTCTCCTTGATGTCTAGCAGAGACGGCTCCGGAATTGAATTGAGAGCTGTTCCGACGAGGAAATGTCCTGGCATCAATGCGGAAACGTCTTCAGGGTCGTCGCTGAGAGGCTCGAGCGGTCTGGAGTTGAGCACAGCTTCAATTTGCGCAATGAGCGTTGTCGCTTCTTCAAACGTCAAAGCGAGCACCTTGATCGTTCTTCTGAGGTGGAATTTCATTGATTTCACCACCGCTTCCCATTTTCCTCCCATATGGGGGGCTGCAGGTGGATTGAAGTGCCATTGAGTCCTGCGTAGTCAAGGCCCGTATTGGTAAACGGACTTGACGGTGTAACTCGACAAAGAGGTAGTTGGCCCATCAGTTGTTGAGCACGGATCCCCCTTTGCCGAGCACACATAACACACTTGAGAATATGAGACTTCACCGGTGCTCGTCCACTGATGATCCAATGAGCCTGTCTGATGTAGGCTAGTGTGAGCTGAGTCCCGTTGTGCAGAGTGCTCTTGTGCGCGTTTTTGATGATGAGCTTCGTCAATAGCGTCTCCTTTGGAAGAATCGCAGGATGCTTTTCTTGTGCTGTTAGCGCTGCATGAGCTAGTCTTCCTCCAACCCTGAGAGTTCCCTCAGAATCGATGAAAGCTGTCAGGCGATTGAAGGGATGCGCTGAATGCAACGTGGAGCCGGCGCTGAGCAACTTCAACTCCTGCCTGTAGAACAGTTGCTGGGTTGCCTGCGTCCAAAAGAGCTTGGCCTTTTCCATGGCCTTCGATGAGATGAGGACTACTGGCGGATCTTCTAGTCTTCCGCGTAATCGAGCAACTAGCCTAGAACAAAGCGCAGTGAGTCTATAGAGCTTAATAAGTGACGAATATTTGTAAATGAGATCCCAATGATAACTTAACTTTGGAGCTGTGATGATGAGAGAGACATTGGGTCTCACTTCTAATTCTGCCACTGCTTCTGCGTGCGCTGGTTGAGCTGGCCAATGTTCTGTTGGCTGCGTCAGCCAATGTGGACCCTCCCACCAGAGGTTGAGTTTCTCTAATTGATCTGTCGAGATGCCCCGCGATGCGCAGTCAGCAGAGTTGGAAGTGCCAGGAACGTGTCTCCATTGTGCGTCAGGGGCGAGTTCATGAATTTGCGATACCCTGTTCCTGACAAACTCCTTCCAACGTCCTGGTTGTGATTTGATCCACGTGAGTGTGACATTTGAGTCCGTCCACAGATGCGTAGCCTTGAGCTGTACTTGGAGAGTATCTGAAACATATCTTGCAAGTTTTGTGAGAAGCAGCGCTGCGGTGAGTTCTAGCCGTGGGATCGTGAGTTTCTTGAGAGGCGCGACCTTAGTCTTCGCGCAAACTAGTGACGTCAATGAGCGCGTGAGCCGTGTAGAAACAGTAATGTAAATTACTGCCACCATGGCGAGTTGAGATGCGTCAGAGAAGCCGTGGATTTCCACCGTTGAGTCTTTATAGGTGCGAAACCATCGTGGTATTGAGAGTCTGGCCAGACTGTTGAGATCTTCTTTGATGCTCAGTTTGATCTCCCTGTCTGCTCACGATAGTGAATTGAGCAGAAATGAGCTTCGCATTCTTCTTCTTCTGGTATCAATGCGCTGTCGCTGACTGATGGGGGCTTCTCCTGGATCCAGAATCTTGTGAGCAATTCTTGCAAAGTATCGTCGTGCGTCGTCACAGTGTGGGCTGATCGAGAGTAATGAGATGGTACACTCACGGGTCCAAGAATTAGCCAACCAAAGATGGAAAGTTGGGGAATTGGAGTTGATGGTGGTCCCCTGATGATGTTGGGTCTGATTACTTCTCCATAGAAGTCTGCTCCAGTAATAACATCAATTGGCCGTGGTGTGAGGAAGTCCTGATCTACCAGTCTCAAATTCTTAATGTGTGGCCAGTCAGGAACGTCTGGGTTAAAGATGGTAAATATGGTGGAAACTGTGGACAGAACATGAGTTCGAATTGTTACTGTTTTCGCTGCCTGTGCTGAGTGTAGGATGATCGTCACTGCACCACGAGTTTCAGTGGCTCTGGTTCCACCAATGCCGATGATTGAGATGTTAGAGCGCTGCCTGCGCAGGTTGAGCTGAGAGGTTAAACTCTCTGAGATAAACGAGACTTCTAGAGATACCTGGTTTCTCCCCGAGAGTTTCAATCCTAAGATACTTTTCCGCATTTGTAACTTTATTCGATGGCTAGAGTTGACTGATTTCTCTCCAAATAGCCTACGGATATTCATCCGTAGGTTATTTTAGCATTTTTTTCTTTAACTGAAGTTTCACTCATCGCGAGGGATAACTTTCATACTTTTATCTTTATCCGAAATTATAGAATAAGGATCGAATAACTTTTCAAGCGGTGTTTACTGTTTAGTCGCCGGTTTTAAAGTATAGTTATACATAATTACACATAGTTAAATAGGTATAATGTAAACAAATTTATACAGGAGTAAGGAAGTATATATTTGTGCATATAGACGTGTACTGTAGATATAAATGATGGTCTTTTTAAATGTTTATATAATTATTGTTATTACAAAATTTCTGATGCTTGACATGACTCGGCAACGAGTAACCGCTTGATGTGATTTCGTGATGTTTAAAGCGAAATTTGCGAAATTTAGAAATTTTACAAAATGTAGACCCAGAAATTAATAAAGATTACAGCTAAGTTGGAACAGGAGGAGGATAGATACTTTGAATTAAGCAACGGCTTAGTATAGGTTAAGGTAAGTAAAACAGTAGTTTACAATGAATTTACTGAAGTTTATTATTACTTGTGAAAAAGATAAAAGTGCGCCTCCTTCGTTACTATAATTACTTTTAATTTAATAATAATAATAAAAATAATTACTTTTACTATAAGATATAATTATATTCCACAAAGAGAATAAACTATAACTAACTAACTATAAAATGTAATTAATTTTAATTTTACTACTTGTTGAATATAAATTGATAATTCTTAAATGAAAATTACTATAAAATATAATTAATTTTAATTTTAATAATTATTAAATATAAATTGTACGGGGCGCCCTCGCCGTACGTCCCAGACGCCCGCGCCGCCGCCTCGTCCTCGCCAGGCGCCAGCTCCGCCGCCGCGTCCTCCTCCGGGGCCGCGGTTTCGCGGGTGGTGGCCGCGTCCGCGTCCGCTGCTACCTGCTCCTGGGCCTCCGCGGGAGCTATTGATTTTTTTAAAAAGCACGGCCCTCACCCACTTCTTCACGTAAAACGAAAAAATTTTAGTTGTTGGCAAATTAGCGTTCGCATTTCGCGCCGACCGCGACCGTAACTCTGAAGTGTGCTGTTACCGATTGCGGCAGCACCTCCCGGGCTCTCTTTGTATACGCAGCGCTCTCACTACGCGGTAGCCGACATGCCGCATGGGGGACGCCACTACGAGTTTACGTTACGCACGTGTTACACGCGTCTATCGCAGCTCGCGCTTTCTACCGAGTTTTTCATTGTTACAGAATCGCGGTCCACGCATTTGTTCGATCATAACAGAATATCAAATAGATATTCTGTTTGCCTGTAAATAGTGTAAAAAGTCTCTGTTTTTCTTGTCTCCTAGTACAACGTGTGCACATCGACCACGCAGTACTTCTCTGTACATATTGTGTTGAATTCTCTGTCCAATAGACAATAAACGTTTGTGTGAAAAAACCTAGTGTGTGCCAAACTTACTCAGACAGCTCAAACCACGCTAACGCGAGAACATTTGGTCCTTCGAGCCGGATCGGCACGGCCGGTTTTTTGAACGCTTATCGGTTACATGCGACGCCATTTCGTGAAAGTGATAGTGCACCTGGCTACACGGAACTCGCAAGACCGTTACTTAGTGCCGTGATTGCTTAGATGTTTTCGGTGGTGTAGTGCGAAACAAGAGAACGCTTACATTTAAATATGCCCAAATCAAGAGACGCGTCTCCGGCTGCACAGCCGTCAGCGCCACCAAAACAAGAAGAGGAAGTGACCGCTCCGATCGTGCAGGTGACCGAACCACAGGAAGCTGGTCCTAGTTCAGGTCACCTTGTCACAGTAAACACGCAGACCACGCCGACCATAGGTTCTGGAGATCTCGAGCCTCTGCAGCCACTTCAGCCCACAGCAGATCGCCGGCCAGATTGTCGACAGAGCTGCAATTTAGAGCAAGGGCGCAGGAAGAGCGCCTCGACCAATTGTTGGCGCTGGTCGAGGCGCTCGAGCGGCTTGCAAAGGAAGACACCGCAGCAATCAGCGTGACGAAGTCCCGCGTCATGGAGGTGACCATTGAAGAAATTCATGGGGACTTCAAAACAGAGCACGCAGCTCTGTTGCGAGTGTGGCCAGCCTCGCACCAGGACCACGCATATTGCAAGGAAAAGGTGTCCACAGCCGAGAGTCGCGTGGTCATGGGAGCACGCGAGCTGGTCTTCTCCTTCCAGCTCAAGGTCCACGCCGCTCAACCTACGCCCACGCAGTCTTCTCAGACAAATCAACCAGCCTGAAGCAAGACAAGGCTGCGCGAGATGCGGTTGCCATCTTTTAACGGCGACTTCATAAAGTGGGTCAACTTTAAAGATACGTTCACGTCGGTGATCATCAACCGAAAGGACATAGAAGACAGTGATCGCCTGCACTATCTGAAGGGTGCAGTCATAGTCTCCCGAGTTTCCTTTTCCTCGGGCCGAGGCGGTGCTGTTGCCGCTGCCGGTTCTTTCTGCAGTTCGATTTCCATAATCATCTATACCAACAGAAATTTATTAATAGTTTCACTACAACTACCAATTATCGTAGCGGCCACTTACTTACGAAAACTGTTTAAAACAAAAATTCATTCTTTTAAACTTGCAACAAATGACAACCATTCCTTGTGGATATAGAGAAATTTATGAACTATACAATGTGATGTTTCTATTTAAAAAAAATTTTAGTCGAATCGAATTTAGATCGGAATCGCAAAGAAAATAGCGAAGAACCCATTTTTTAACTATCACGCTGAAATATCACGTCATACATTTCACTAGTTCCTCTATCTTTACAAAAAATGGTTGTTGTTTGTTGCAAGTTTAAAAGAATGAATTTTGCTTTAAACAGTCTTCGTAAGTAGATGGCCGCCACTGTACACTGCATTAATTCACTTTTAACTGCACTTACTGCATTGCGATCCATTCTGTATACTTTCGATATTTCGAATGTTTGCCGATGACGGACGGTGACCATCCTAGAAAATCGGCCTTCCACTCACGGCTCACGCCTAGGGTTGCGAAGTCAATCAAGATCCAGGAATCATCCCCACCGCTTACCGATTTTGGGGCTGTCGATGATTCGCCCCGATGTAAGTACACAGAACATCTAAAAACAAAGAAGATTAATACATTGTACGCGTTTTACTATTGGAAATTGTTCAAAACTTTTCATATTCTATTATACTTACATATTTCCATGGACGACGAACGAATTTGCCGGATCAGCACGGTCCTTTTTTCGAGGGCGGCAAGACATAGATTAATCGTCGTGAAGACTGGATGCTGGGAACCTTGAAATAAAGAAGATTAACATATTGTTGTGAGCACCCTTTGGATGGATCCAAGGCCTGCTGGTGCTCGCGACCGGAACATGAAGACAGCGAGAAAAAGGCGATCGGATCGATCGCCTGTCAAGCTGTCAGATTCGAGCAAGACGTCATTGAGAGCAGACGTTTCGAAGCTATATTTAATCGCATTCCTATTGTACACATTTCTATTGTAAAGCTGGTTGTTATTTATTAAAGTTTGTGTTTATTCATTATGCCGAAACGCAACATTGGTGTCAGAAGTGGGATGCCCACTCGTAGTGGTCGGCTGCGTCGCGCTTTCGCGGTATCCACGGAACCTTCTCCTCAATCGACGCCCGAGCCTTTCCTGCAGAAGATGTTCACCGACCTCCAGTGGAGCATCGTTGGACAAATGCAAGAACAACGAAGGGAGGATGAAGCTCGGAGGAGGGAGAAGGACGCCGAGGATCGGCGGATACAGGCGGCCTTTGAGACGCGACTGGCCAGCATCGAAGAACGTTTTCAGGTCGTATCTGTTCCAATAGAAAACAGCTATTGTTCGGGTAGTGGCGACGCGAACCCTCGGGCTGGGTTACTTTGTGAATTTCAAAATGTTTTTGCAGTGAATTTGAATCAGCTCGGAAACTGGGACAGGGCGAAGCACACCATCAACACGGGAGACTGCTCGCCCACAAAACAGGTCCCACGGAGATTGCCTATACATCGCCGAATGGAAGTGGACGAGTTGGTCAAGAAAATGATCGCCCAAGGCGTAATCGAGGAATCACAGAGCCCGTGGTCTTCTCCCATCGTCCTTGTGAAGAAGAAGAATGGAAGTTTGCGATTCTGCATAGATTTTCGACGACTGAACGAGATTACGAAAAAGGACTCGTACCCCCTTCCCCGCATTGAGGATACCCTGGACGCCCTCGCTGGATCATCGTGGTTTTCTACTGTAGACTTGCAGAGCGGATATTGGCAGATCTCTATGGATGAGAAGGATCGAGAGAAAACTGCTTTTTCGGTAGGAACAGGACTGTGGCAGTTCAAGGTGATGCTCTTTGGATTATTTAACGC